TTCATCCAAAAATAGACATTTGGGGTGCTTGCCCTTCTTGGCTATTGTGCATAACACTATTATGAACAAGAGTAAACAAATATCTCCTCCAGAGTCTGTTTTCAATTCTTTTATATAAATACCCAGAAGTGGGATTGCTGAATCTTATGGTAATCCTATTTTTAACTTTTTGAGGAACTTCCATTCTGTTTTCCAGACTGGATACACCATTTTGCACTCCTACAACCTGAGCACAAGCATTTCAGTTTCTCCACATGTTTGCCCACATTTGTTATTTTCTGTCTTTTTGATATTAGCATCCTAATGGAGGTGATGGTATAACTCACAATAGTTTAGATTTGCATGCTTCTAATGATTAATGATGCTGAATAATTTCCCATATGCCTATTAGCCATTGGCATATCATCCTTGAAAAAATGTCTATTGAAATCCTTTGCCCACTTTTCAAATCTTGTTATTGAACTTTTTGTTGTTGGTTTATGGATGTTCTTTTTTCTATTTTGAATGTTAACTCCTTATCAGTTGTATGATATGTGAGCACATTCCCTCATTCCATAGGTTAACGTTTCACACTTGGTTGTATCCTCTTATGAGTAGAAGTTTTTAAGTTTGATGTGGTCCCATGTGTCTGTTTTTGCTCTTGTTGACAGAATATCTCGTGTCAGATTCAATAAATCATTATGATATATATAATGTCATGAAGATTTTCTCCTATGCTTTCTTCTAGGTGATTTATAGTTTGAGGTCTTGCATTTAGGTCTTTGATGTGTTGTGAGTTAAATGTGGCATATAGTATAAGAAAAAGGTCCAATTTCATTCTTTTGCATGTTGATGCCTGCTTTCCCCAGCACCACTTGTTGGGGAGACTGTCTTTTTTCCATCGAGTGGTTTCGACAGCCTTGTTAAAGATCTCTTGACTGTAGACATAAAATTATATTTCTGGGATCTCTATTCTATTCTGTTGATCTATATGTCTGTATTTATGCCAATAACACATTTTTTTTTTATCTCGTTAGCTTTGTAATGTGTTTTGAAGTGAGGACGTATGAGACCTTCAGGTTTATTCTTTTATGAGATTTGATTTTGGCTACTTGGGGTCTCTTGATATTACATATCAATTTTAGGATTCATTTTTGTTTTTCTGACAAAAATGCCATTGAGATTTTGATAGAAATTGTAGACCATTTTGGAGAGCATTGCCATCTCAACACTGAGTCTTCTAATCCACAGATATGGGATGTCTTTCCATTTACTTATGTCTTCTTTAATTTACCTCAAAAACTCCTTGTCTTTTTTTTTATTCAAGTCTTTCACCTTTTGGATAAACTCATGTCTAAGTACTTAATTGTTTTTATGCTATTGTAAAGTGAATGTTTATTAATTTCCTTTTCAGATTGCTTATTATTAATGTATAGAAATGCAACTTATTTTTGTGTGTTGACTTATTTTATTCCTTTTCTAATTCCCCCAGGTGTACAGATGCATCATTAATTTGATATCATTTTCCTTTTTTTAATGTTAGCATTTATAACTATAAATTTCCCCTTTAGCATTGCTTTCTGGGCAACCCATAAGTTTCAATATGTTGTGTTTTTGATGTTTTATTCTGAACAAATTTTAGAGTTACAGAAAAGTTGCAAAAATAATACAGAAGATTTCTTCTGTTCAGAAGATTTCTTTCTTCACTCACCATCCTCTAATGTTATCATCCTATTGTCTTCATATCTTGGAAGTTTTTCTGTGTCTGGTCCACATACCTTCTTTAGAATGGGATCCATCCTGAAGGGCAACTTCATCTGGGCTACGCCATTCTTATGATTAAGAGCAGAAGAAACCATGGTAAAACCATGAGATGACTATTAACTTCTGCTCAGAGATGGATATGTGGCTTCTGCTCACATCTAACTAGCCAAAGCTATTATACTGGTGGCACACAGATGGTGTTCTTGCTGGCCTGAGTGACCAGATTCCAATGAGGACCAGAACGTTTCTCATTTTGGGTTCTTCCCCAAGATTTCCAGGACTTCCTCTGCCTCTGAAATGCCAATCTCTTTTTTTAAAAAAAATACTTATTTAGTTGTATATGAACACACAGTATCTTTATTTATTTTTATGTGGTGCTGAGGATTGAACCCAGTACCTCACACATGTGAGGCAAGCACTTTACCACTGAGCTACAGCCTCAGCCTCTGCCAATCTCTTCTTCTATTCAGCATGGTATTTCCTGGAATCTGATCCCCACTTCACTGTTCAAATTTTGAAGAAACAGCCAGATTTAGGAGCAACATATTTGGGAAGCTGTCAGTGTCTCTCTGAGTCCCTACCCAATATTTCGTTGTCTAGTACCCTTTCTTCTTTTCTAATATGAATAATTAATAATAATTTTTTTCTAATATGAATAATACACTTACTGAGAACCGTGTTCTGGTTATTTCCAATGCATTTTTTTTTACATATTCACTCATTTATTCCTTACAGTAACTCAGAAATGAAAGTACTTTTATTATCTCTATTTTCGGAGATGTGGCAACTGGTTTACAGAGAATAAGGGCTGTCTATGGTTACGGCTAAGTGATTATTGGGAAGTGACACGGGTAGTCATTCCCTGAGACATGTCCTCAATTGCCTCTCCTGGAACTGGACAGCAAAAGCCTTTGTCTGACTCCCCTTACTCCCCTAGACATCCTGGTCTTTGTACAAATAAGTCTAGAACAATGTGTTCCGAAGGAGGCTACATGCCATCAAATTCATAACTGGCTAATGTGGGGCCCGGATGGGACCACTCCCTGCGTCTGTGCTCATGGCAGACACTGCAGTCACTCACACACCTTGAACTCAGACCCAAAGCCACTCTCTTCAAGACCTCTGTCTGGGATCCCCCTCTAAAAGGGAAGGGAATGCGGACATCCGTGATATCATGCATGAGCTCAGGAGACATCGTGCTAAATGAAATAAGCCAGTCACAGAAGACAAATTCTCCAAGATTCCACTTATGTGAGATGCTCAAAATGGTCTAACTCATAGAAGCAGAAAACAAAATAGGTTACCAGGAGCCAGATGGAGGGGGAGAGGGAGAGTCATTGTTTAATTCAAAATTTGGGGGAAAAAAAGAAAAAAAGCTGGTAGAGTTAGCAGCAGAAAGCAATGTCATAGAGGTAAATATAAACTTGATGTCCAACAAAAGCCAGAATAAAAGCCTGATATTTCTCTTAAGTCAGTGTTCAAGGTTAGAGGATGGTCTGAGCCCTCCCATTGAAGTTCTCCTCTCTTGCATCCCGTGGCCATCATGCAGGGTCCAGTCACAGGTGTGAAGAGGCCATGCATGGCCTCCTGAATGGTCAAACCTCCATTCATGAATATTGTCAGCAATCAGTCAGTGATCTTGTGATGTGTGTTTCTAAGGGAAGTACTGCGAGATGAGGAAGGAGACTATGGCTTTCAAAATGTATTCTTTATATCCCTGAGATATATAGGTGGGGAGGGAGACACGGAATCTCCCATTTCTGCTTCAAATTGATGGTGTGCTTGGATGTCATTCATTCATTTGACCTCCCTGGATTCTTTCACTTGAAAAGATATTTTCATACAGATATTTTGAAGACCACAGCATTCTAAGACCCTGATGTGCCATGAAATTCTGATAGCCTAGAAAACATACAAAGGTTTTATTTTACTTCTATTTGTTTGTCTATTCATCCTAGGGATTGATCCCAGGGCCTTATACACATTAAGCACACACTCTACCACTGGGATATACCCACAGCTCTAGATACTGGGCAGTTCCCCTACCCCCTCCCCATTTCCCTTTGCTCTGAGTCCTTCTTACCATCCCTTGCATCCCTTCCAGAAAGACCTAGAGCTCACTGTCATGAGCCTTTCTTGTTGCATTGCAGATGGGATTAATATCTCTACCTGCTCTTCATTTAAAACATGTCTAAAAGTTATTTTACACTCTCTCATTAAAAGGTGTGGTCTATGTACCCTAATCTTGCAGCGGGGAGCCTTAAACCATTATGTAAAATATCCAAGCATGTGGATAAAGGAGGAGTGGGAAGCGAGGGAGCTAAAGGACTGCATCTGATACAACCACCAGCTGTTAATGTCCTTCCAGACCAGACAGTGAACACTGAATAAAAGCTTCGTGCTGACCCCAGCCTTAGCCAACATCTAACTGCAAAGACACCAAGCACCTTAAGCAAGTGCTGCCGAACTGAGACCGGTCAACCCCTCGAAGTTGAGAGCAAAATGACTGACGGTTTCTGTTGTAAGTCACTATCTTCAGACGCTCCGTGGCAGAGTCGTGGATTGCTAGATAGACACTACAATTTCAGGCACTATTCTCCAATGCAAACTGCATTCTGTTTTTCCGCTCAGGTTCTGTTATTCTCTTTTCCTCTGAGATGTAGAAAGCCATCAAGACTTTGAGTGAAAAGTGTTTAAGTTCATGCTGGAATCCAGCCAAAGTTGGAACGCCTCTTTCTAGACTCCAGAGTCCCAGGGATGCTGACTAAAATGAAGAAATGTGGGAATCTCTGTCATTTTTCTTGATTTCGGCACCCAAGTGCTTTGCTCAGCCAGACAAGGTATGATTTCTTCCTTCCTGTTTCTACAGAAACTGTTTCATTTCAAAGAAGCTGAGCTTATGAGAATAGGTGTAAATCGCATACCCTGGTCTGCCTGGGCACAGCCCCCACCTGACCCCCCTCTCCCAGTCTTGGATGGAAACAGACCAACCCCCGTCCCTAAACCCATACTTTCATCTCCCAGGTCCCAGCATCACCCCAGGGCAGCATGCTGGCCCCCTGATATATTACACCATCCTGTGTAATTCATTCTGTGATTCATTCTGAATGACAAAGCTCTCTCTCCACGCCCCTTCCTTTATACTCCATGTCTGCTTCCTATAAAAGGCAGAGACAGAGCCATCCGAAGAGCAGAGAGCTGAGAACAACTCAGAAACTTCCAACTCCCAGGCTGAAGCTCTCTCTCTCATCCTCACCATGAAGGTCTCTGCAGCTCTTCTGTGCCTGATGCTCACAGTAGCCGCCTTCTGCATTCCCACGCTTGCTCAGCCAGGTAAGACCCTGCCCCCTCCACCCTGAAACACATCACCCCATCTCTGGGACATCATGCCCAGTACATCCCAGAGGGTACCCATTGTCTCACCTTAGCAGCTGCTTTTCTAAGATCAGGCAACTCAGAGAAGGCCAGGAGTGAGCCCAATCACACAGCTGCTGCTGGGCAGAGCCTGAGCTAGATTCCCAGCTCTGGACCAACTCCAGCTCCTTCCAGGACTCGAGCTCTGGAAACATGCCCAGAGCTACTGCCCAGAGTTACTGCCCAGGGGCTGTCAGTAATCCTGGGTGATCCAAAGAGAGGGGCCTCCTGGTGGTGGCCTGCAGGGTATTTCCAGATACAGGGGAGGCAGGAAGGAGACCCAGAACCTGGTCTGTGCATCCCCCAGCCCAGCTTCCAGAGACAGAGGCCCTGCAGAGATGGCTGGTATCCCAGAAGCTCACCTGCAGGCACAGATTTCTCAGAGCCTAAGTTATGAGTCCCCTTACTACAAGGGATTGGCTTATTATCTCAGCTCCTCCCAGCAACAACCATAGTGTTCGTCAGTTTCTCTTGTCCCTGTCAGTTGGTGAGGACCTGTTCCCGTTTCATAGCCCATGACATGGAGAGCGTTTACAGGATACCTCAGACACATCCGACTTGGGATGGGCAGTTTCTATTCTCAACTTTTCCCTTCCCACTGACTCCTTCCTACCATCCCTTGCATCACTTCCAGAATGACCCAGCACTCACTGTCCTGAGCCTTTTCCTGTTGCATTGCAGATGGGATCAACATCTCCACCTGCTGCTATGAAACCCGGAAAAAGAAGATCTCCTTGCAGAAACTGAAGAGTTACACCAGGATCACCAGCAGCAACTGTCCCAGGGAAGCTGTGATGTGAGTGGCCTCTGATCAACCACCTTCAACCCTGAGCCCTAAGTCCTTCCCTGGGGCGGCGGGGAGGAGCGTTATCCAACTGGGTTGGAGCCAAACACTCAGATGCTTAGAGCATCTCCCACAGAATCTCAGAACTTTCCCAGTGGAAAAGGGGAGTCCCACCAAGGAAAGTGACTTCCACTACCTGCTCCCTTTCCAGGCTTCAGTTCAGAGCTTGGTCCCTTTATCCAGACAAGGGGGTTTCTTCTGGGTCCACAAAAGCAGCTGCTGCCACCTCTCCCCACTGCAGGCCCTTCCTCTGCCTTCCACCTCCTCCATCCCAGGGCAATCCCCTCCACCTGGAGCTCAGGGGCCAGACAGGTTAGGTATCCAGTGGGTTCCTCAGGGTGACCCATCTGATGGAGCCCTTTCTCCCCCACAGCTTCAAGACCAAACTGAACAAGGAGATCTGTGCTGACTCCAATCAGCAGTGGGTCAAGGACGCCATCAAACACCTGGACAAGAAAACCCAAGACCCTTGAACGGCTTATGCCTGAACAGAAACCAGGCTGGGACTGGAGGAGCAACTCATCTGCATCCTCTGCCCTTTTTTTTTTTGTTTTTGTTTTGAGAATTGCTCTGAGATTAATTTATTCCAGTTCTAAGGAAGGGCTGCGAGTTGTGGTGTAATGAGGTGGATCATAATTTTTTTTCCTAAGTCGTGTTTTCAAAGTTATTAATATTTTAATTTAATCTGTCATGGATGTTGGTGTGTTTTGAATGTAAACCTGCCTTGCTGCAAGTATCATGAAGGACCTCGCAAGAATCAATGCAAAGATTTTATTTAAAATTTTTGTGATAATGAAATCGTAACGTTATTACAAAAATGGAATATTTATGTGGGTATCACTTTCGCATTTTCACATAAAATATATTTTTGTATAAAACCTGACTTTGACGGCTTATTAAGGAATAAAGTTAAGCTGGAGAGACTGATGGGGTGGCAAAGAGGAGGGTATGGTTGCCAAGGGTGGGGCTTGGGCTGTGAAAGAAAAAAGAATAGGTAGCCTCAGGGCTTTCCCCTGGGGACATGTCATCCACAAGATGACTGGTACAAGAGAGTCTGGCAGGCTGGGGCCAGGCTAAGACAACTCCACAGCTCCATCTGACACCCTTCAGCTTTAGCTGTTGGCTTAGACGCCTTTCTTCCTTTCTCAAGTTGTTGCTTTTCTCTCCATCACAAAAGTATCTCCCCTCATTTACTGCATCAGACTCCTGGCAGGCTGGTTGTCCACTTGTATTCAATCACCCAATCCAGACTATCACAAACATCACTTGCACTGAGAAATCCCTTCTGCATCTGGAGCCAGGTATCTTAAAAAAAAAAAAAAAGTTTCCATCTCTACAGATTAGGGAGAAGCAGGAGGGAGGTGACCCTGCACCCCAACAGATAGCACTGACAAATCCTTGACAGCTTGCAACAGAGGTTCTTGGAGACAGGGTTTTCAGGAACAGAGGGATTCCATGATTAGACGGGTTGCACCACTAATGTGCCTAGTAAACTTGGGAAAGTTACTTACCTGACTGGGCCCATAGAGATTGCAGTAGATGGATGGCTCTCTTATGGACCTCAACATCACTTAGACACTTGGAAAAATACAAATGTGCAGCACCATCACCAAAGATTCTGATACGGAGTGCTGGGTGAGGAAGGTGCTGCTTTTTATTAAGATCTTTGTCATGTCTGGGGGCCACTCTGAAGTTGCCTTATTTTCTCTCTATTGGATTAATGTACTCTCTGGACTTGCCCACTGACTTAGACAAAGAAGTGTGCCTTTTTGTTATGATTTGGATATGAGATTTCCCCCAAATCTCATATGTAAAACAATGCAAGAAAGTTTTAAAGGAAATATGATTGGGTTATGAGAGCTTTAACCTAATCACTGCATTACTCCACTGACATAGATTAACTGGGTGGTAACTCTAGATAGGTAGGGTGAATCCGGAGGAGGTGGTGCATGGGGGTTTGTGTCTTTAATGTACATATTTTGTCCCTGGAAAGTGCAGCTCTCTCTCTCTCTGCTTCCCAATTCCTGAGCTGCTCTCCTCCTTCACACCATCTGCCCTGATGTTCTGCCTCACTCAGACACAGAGAGCAATGGAGTTGGCTTTCTATGGACTGAGACCTCTGAAACCTGTAAGTGCCATACAAACTTTTCCTCCTATAAAATCATTCTTGACAGGTCTTTTGGTCACCGCTGCAAAAATTCCCATTAAATCATTTTTCCCTGCCTTTTGCTTGACCTTTCCCACCTGCTAGACGAGGTGGTTAGGCACGCACCAATCCTAAGGTAATAGTGAATGTAAATGCCCGACATCCGTGGGCTCTCACACGTTCTCCAACATGATGAAATACTTGGGAATTAATCTAATGATGGATGTGAAGCACCTCACAATGAGAATTTGAGAACACTGAAGAAGACGAAGACAACCTTAGAAGATGGAAAGACCTCCCATGTTCTTGGACAGGCAGAATGAATATTATCAACATGGCCACACTACCAAAAGCGTTATATAGATTTAATGCAAAACCCACCAAAATACCAACAGCATTTTTCACAGAACTAGACAAAGCAGTTCTAAAATTCATTTGGAAAAATAAGAGACCCAGAGCAGTGAAAGCAATACTGAGCAAAAAGAGTCTTTTTTTTTTTTTTTAAGAAAGAGACTTTTTATTAGCATCGTTACAGGCAGCGTGTCGCGTGTGAGCTGACCCTCGGTGTGCAACCCACCGTCTTGCTGGAGACATCACAATACCTGATCTGAAATTACTGCAGAGATACAGTAACAAAAACAGCAGGGAACTAGCACTAAAACAGGCTTAGAGACCAACAGAATAGAATAGGAGACACAGAGACAAACCCACATGTATACAGTTATCTGATACTAGACAAAGTTGCCAAAAACATACATTGGAGAAAAGGTATCCTCTTCAACCACTGGTGCTAGGAAAACTGGAAATCCATAGGTAGCAGAATGAAATTTAACCCTTCTCTCACACCCTGCATAAAACTCAAATCAAAGTAGATCAAAGAACTATGCATTAGACCAGAAACCCTGCACCTGCTGTAAGAAAACGTAGGCCCAATGCTCCAACATGTTGACACAGGAACCAACTTTCTTAACCAGACTTCTAAAGTGCCAGAATTGAACCCCAAAGCAGCAAGTGGGATAGAATCAAATTTAAAAGCTCCTGCACAGCAAATTAAGAGTGTGAAAACAGAGCCTACAGAATGGGAGATGATCTCTGCCACCTGCCCCTCAGAAAGTGCATTAATATGCAGAATATAAAAAGAACTAAAAAATATTAACATCAAAAAAGGCCAAATAACCCCAATTAATAAATGGGCAAAGGAATTAAACAGACCCTTCTCAAAAGAGGAACTACAAATGGCCAAAAAATGCATTAAAAAAATTCAATGTCTCTAGCAATTAGGGGGAAAAAAACTACATTGGAATGTCATTTCACTCTGGTCAGAATGGCAATTATCAAGAATATAAATAATTGGGGCTGGGGTTGTGGCTCAGTGGAAGAGCCCAGCACCTAGCATATTTCGGGTGTTGGGGTCCATCCTCAGCACCAAATAAAAATAAAATAAAGGTTTTGTGTCCAACTACAACTAAAAAAAAATTTTAATAAAAAAGAATATAAATAATAATATGTATTGGCAAGAATGTGGAATAGAAGGTACACTCATACGTTGTTGGTGGGACTGAAAATTAGTGCAACCACTCTGAAAAGCAGTATGGAGATTCCTCAAAAAGCTAGAAATGGAATACCATATGACCCAGCTATCCCACTCCTGGTATATATATCACAAAGATTTAAAATTAGTATACTACAGGGATATAGCCACATCAGTATTTATAGTAGCACAATTTACAACAGCCAAGCTATGTAACTAACCTAGGTGTCCGTCAACAGATGAATGGATTTTAAAAATGTGGTATATGTACACAATAGAGTATTATTCGGCCATAAAGAAGAAAAAAAAATATGGCATTTGCCAAAAATGGATGGAACTGGAGACTATTATGCTAAATGAAACAAGCCAGACCTAGAAAGTCAAAGGTTGAATGTGTTCTCTGATATGGGGAGGCTAGTTCAAAATAAGGGGTGGAGGATAAAAGGAAAGGGAAAGGGAGAATTCCATCAAAATAGAAAAAAAAGTTCCATGGAATAATGCAAGGGGATTGAGGGGGAGGGAAGTGGGATGGAACAGGGAAGAACAGCGGAATGAACCTGACCTAACTTTCCTATGCTCATATATTAATATACCACAGTGAGTCTCACCATTATGTACACCCACAAGACACTGTTAAAAACTAAGTAAATAATAGAAAAATCAGAAGAGGGAAGGGAATGGAGAAGGGAGGAGGGGAGAGAAAGGGGAAGTTCTGGGGACTGAGAGCAAACTTTATTTCATGCTTTTATAATCATGTCAAAATGAATCCCAATGTTATGTATGACTAAAAAGAACCAATGAAAAATAAAAATTAAAATCCTGGCACAGCAGCACTCGCCTGTAATCCCAGTGACTCGGGAAGCTGAGGCAGGAGGATCACAAGTTCAAAGCCAGCCTCAGCAACTTAACGAGACCTTAAGCAATGTAGCAAGATCCTGCCTCAAGATAAAAAAACATATGTGCAATCATACATGTACCTAGGGTAATGATGTCCATCTCATTCCACCATCTTTCCTGCCCCCATGCTCCCTTCCTACCCTCCTTCCCCTTTGCCCAATCAAAGTTCCTCCATTCTTCTCATCCCTTCCCCCTCCCACCCCGTTATGGATCAGCATCCACTTATCAAAGAACATTCGGCCTTTGGGTTTTGGGGATTGGCTTTCTTCACTTAGCATTATATTTTCCAACTCCATCCATTTGCCTACAAATGCCATAATTTTATTCTATTTTAATGCGGATTAATAGTCCATTGTGTATATATACCACAGTTTCTTTTTCCCTTCATCTATTGAAAGGCATCTAGGTTGCTTCCACAGTTTAGCTATTGTGAATTGAGCTGACGCTGCGCTACATCGTGTACAACCATAGAAATGTAAAGTTGGGCTGCAATTGCATACAATGAATCAAAATTCATTCTGCTGTCATAGATTCCTATTTAAGATAAATAAATCAATTTAAAAAAATTAAAAGGGTTGGGGATGTGGCTCAATGGTTAAGCACCCCCTGGGTTCAATCCCCAGTACCAAAATAATAATAATAAAAGTAATAACAAATTAAATTTTAAGACATTAAAATTTTAAAAATTGCATTTACTTGGGAGTCCACATGACTTAATTATATCCAATCAATTGGGTGAGCATCTAAATGATGTAAGACACTTCCACATCTAGTCCCTACAACAAGTTACATTTCCAGCCTTCTCTCCCCCCATCACGATAGCCTTGGGAGAAATGTTCCATGAAGTCCAGCTTCCAGGTGGAAGCAGTCCATCTCTCTGGGGACAGCCACCAGGTCTACCTTGAACCGTGACAAGAGAAAAGAACATTGGTGGTGTGAAGCTGCTGAAGATGGGAGCCTCGCTTAATCCTGAACAACAGGGGACCTGGGACCACGGTCACGTGCTGCCATGAAAACCCTGACTAGACATCGGACTGCAGGCCGTGAGGAAGCTGACTTCTCAGGTTGAAAAGATGAAGGTTCATGTTACAAACTGTCAAAGCTGTCAGGTCCTGTCTGCTAAAACTCTAGCTGCAGAGAGGAATTTGAAAATATATATTAATAGTATGTTGGTTGTTTATGTCTGAATTTGTCAAGGCCATAGGAGAAGAGCTCAGAGGAAAAAAAAAATCTCTTGTTCTTGAAATAGAAAAAGGGGGTGGGGAGAGAGAATAACATCTACAAATTCAAGGTCTTAACACTGTTGGAAAAGCAATCTGTGTCTTGGTTCCAAACATTAAGAGGAAGATATCCAAGAATTTTTTGAAATTCAGCAATACAAGTCCAGAAAAAAAAAGTGATGTTTCAAGCCTAACAGCCTCATTCAGGAGAGAGAGAGAGAGAGAGAGAGAGAGAGAGAGAGAGAGAGAGAGAGAACAGAACGCAGAGAAGTAATTTGAGAAGTACATCTGGTAAGAAACTTGAACTGTGACAGATGGCATAATATACACATAGAGGTGACTGGGTACAAACAGATGAGAAACCTGTTAGGTATTAAGAGAATAATCCTGAAACCACAAGTGAGCCTGGACCAAAAAAAAAAAAAAAGGCATTGACAATTCAAAATGAAAATCAACTCCAAGCTCAGCGAGCAGTCCTCAGAGGCTGCAGAGCCCCCTAGAGGAGCAGGTTCTCTTCCGCACACTTCAGAGGCACCCAAGGGGAAGAATGGGAAATGAGGGGGGCCTCCACAGGGCAAGCAGGGAGTCAGGATCAAAAAGACAGAGAGCTTCCCCAGAAAGGGGAACCAAGCCTAGTGGAAGCGGGGGAGGACTTTTATAACATCTGCCTGAGGGTCACAGGATTGGTACAGAGTTCAACCCCACCCCCACCGCCCACCCCAGGGATGGCCCTGGTTGCAAGTACTCTGGCCTTTGAAAACAAGCTGCATTCGATATAAATAACCTGTCCCTTTAGTACCCAGGTCACCGGACAAGGTGGGTCCATATCCTCATCCAAAAGCCTCCGAGAAGAAATCCCATAGACTTAGGTTGATTTAATGAGTCCATGGGAGTTTGGTCATCTCTCTTTTGAGTGGGTCAATTGTGTTCTCCATGCCTAAGAGGTGAGCCGAGGACAGACTGCGATAGAAACTGTTTGTCCTCACCAGGTGCTCATGTGCTTCCTCTTCATTCCTCGGGGGTCCCTGGCAGTCACAGCGAAGTCATGTGATGAGCTTACGTCAAGGGCATATAGGCAGAAGTGACCTGACTGCTTCCACACCTGGCTCTTTAGAATTTCCTACACAGTGACCAAGCCGCTCTTCTCTTGCCTGGGTGAACTTGGAGGCCACACATTCCAAGTGACCGCTGGAGTTTATGCACTCTGAGCCTCTGAGCCCCCCCTGGGGAGAGCGCACTTGTGACAAGCTGCTTTAGCAACATCTGGCTGTAACACGCTCATAAAACAGATGTGCTGCCTCGAGCCCACTGAGACTGTTGCTGCTGTTCCGGAGGGGTCAGCCAGCTTTCCCGTGACCTATTTCCAGCGAAATAGCTACAGCCCTGTGTGCCTCCACGCCCACCTTTGTGCAGGAGAGTGGAGTCCATAGCTGTGAAAGGATCGTGAGATGGTGTTACAGTAAGAATATTTCAAATAAACAAGCCCCAAGGCAACCCTGGGAAGCAGGCTCCGCTTTCATAAATGATTTCACAGAAGAGGAAGAGACTTAACTTCTCTGAGTTTCTGTATTCTCCTTTTAGAAATGGACTTACTTGGGTGTTTCCTGGGAGGATAAAATAAGCCAATTCTTGTGAAAACAAAGTACTACAGAGTCTTGCATGTGCTGTGTAGGTTAGTGTTCTTGGTGACAACTTGCTATTTGCTGGACACATTCATAGGAGTCTTAGACTAATGTAGAGTTATGGGGTAATTTCTTCCAAAAGGGACGAGAAACTGCAGACATGGCCTCTGTGACCTTTGAGATAGACAGAAGTCAGATCTTACTGGGTCTGGTTTTGCCCCAAGGAAAAACAGAGGTGAGAGTCACATACAGTAAAAGTGTCACAAGACACAGTCAAAAGGCAGAGGCTCCGAAAAAAGCTCTGCCCAAACACATGAAGTAGGCTTCAGGACTCTGACTCTGGTCCCCCGACCTGGGCTTTTTACTCTTTTGTGGTTGTTGTTTCGAAGAGAGTGTTGGGATAAACGTCTGTGTCTCTTCCAAGTCTGTCTTTGGCTTTATCATAGCACAGGAAATTGAGAGCAGTACGAATCAAAGCCAGGAGCCCCAATTCCTGGCACCCTTTCCTGCTAATCTCCCACCATTCCCTGAAAAGCTCTCACGCCAAGATTTTGCTTTCTCCGTGGGGGACGCATATCTCAGAGTGGGTCCTGACCAAGGCCTGATATTCATCAGACACCAAATCTGAGGAGTGAGAGGTAGGTTCATCTCAGGTCACTGCTGAATGAGAAGCCTCCTGGAAGGAGACAGATAAGAACAGCAGCTCAAGCGGCCCCGAGGTTAGAGACAGCCAGGCTACTAGAGGGAGCAGCTGCTGGTGAACTTGGGTGCGTTGAGAGTGACCCACCAAGTTTCTGGAATTCAGATGAAAACTTAGGGAGAATAATACAAATATAGGAAGTCACTCACTGATAGGATCTTCTCAGCTCCCAGATGAGCTATGGAATTATTCCTACGAAGGCCACATAATACTTAACCCACGTCAGCCAAGAACCTCTGAGGGTCAAGAAACTTCCAAATTTATATTAATGACACAATTTCTGATACCTCCCTCGTGTCTCCCAAATGTGCAACTCGTTCATTCCTGGAAACCATCCCTACGAGCATACGTCTTTACTTGGAGGCAATAGGAAGTTTGGAGAACATATGGAGAAAGCCATCTGCCTACACTCTCAGTCTCTTTCTAGTACCCCCGACCCTCCCCATCTGCCCCATCTCCTAATAATAAAAACTGTTAACTTCCGATTACTCGGTACCTACAGAGATTTGGTCGCTTTTCTAAGTTGTGTGTGTGTGTGTATGTGTGTGTGTGTGTGTATAAACTCATTAGATTCACATGACAGTCCTCCAAGTTAGGAAAGTTTATTATCCCCATCTTAACCTGGCAGTGTGTGGATAGGTGTGGTGACCGTGGCCTCCAAGCTTGTCAGAGGCAGGGCCATCACCCAAACTCAGGCATCTTGGATTCACTGTCTCCACTAGACTATCCCATTTGGAACTGAGTAACAAAGAAGTAGGGAAGGCCAAGTGTTCTGGCCTCGACTTGATCCCTTTGTAGGGAATTGCATTCCAGTTATTCTAGATGGGTGCTTAGAAAACTTGTAAGCCACTAAGGGGACTCTCTAAATCCTGTGCCCATGACAGAAATAACCAGTGAACTGCAATACCATCCTCTATTAACTCAAGGCAAGTTCTCGGAACCCTTCTTAACACACCTATCTGTGCAACCTTTACCCATCAATCAATTGCATACTGGGGTGTGTGGGAAAAGCCAGAAAACAGCCAGGCAGGGCCTCCAACCAGTATTCAAGCTGTAATTACTGCAATTGCCTCAATAAAGACTATACCCCTCCTTGCACCCTCTCCTACTTGGTTATACACAATGTTATACACAATGCAGTATGTATAGGTTCTTGTGTTCCTTGTTTCTTTGATGTCTTCAAGCCATCAGACTTCTTGTCTGCAATGCATGCTCAGGGAGTGAGAGTAAACTAGGAGTAAACTTTTCCAATTGGGTTCCTTGAATCTTTGGGGTATGAGGGCACAGGGGCCACCTCCTCTGCTGCAAACAGACCCACTACACGATAGTATATTTGATATATAGAAGTTTGTCTTGATTTCATTTGGAAAAGGGCTTTATCAGCTAAGTGAATCATTTTAAAAGGCACCAGCAGTCAAAATCAATAGGAATGATCTTGTTCTGATGGTCCTTAACACTAAACCCCAAGGCATTAGGATTCTATAACCACTGGATTAAGTCACAGGGGTGAAGTTCTCTTGTGCTATCCTCCCTGGGTCATGCAGACCCAGCAAAGCTAAGTTCTGCTGAGCAATTGCTCATTTGCAAATGAGTGAGCACCCTGCAAAAGTTTGAGGGTCCCTTCCTGTCTTCCCGAACTCTGAAGATCATAAGGTGAACACAGGGACCAAGGGGCATTCTTAAATCCACTGCTTTTCCATGCTGTTAGTTTCTTTGCTCTCCTGCAGATGTGGAATAATATTTCATAATCACATACGCCCTTCCTTCTCAATCCTCATGAAAACAGGTGCCAAATCCCACCCACAAATTTGCTTCCTTCTATCTTGCAATTTTCTCAAGAGCCAGAGTGTGGTCAGCTGTTGAGAATCTTCCCTTCAACATGACTTGACTCTGACCCCGTGTAGGCAAGGGCTTCTCTGGAAGCTCCCACCCACTCTGCTCCCTATAAAAGCAGGCAGAACAGCCACAAGAGCAGAGAGGCTGAGACCAACCCCGACACCTCCACCTCTCACACCAAAGCCCTCACTCTTGCACCACCATGAAGGTCTCTGCAGTGCTTCTGTGCCTGATGCTCACAGCAACCATCCTCAGGATGCTGGTGCTTGCTCAGCCAGGTAAGCCCCCTCTTTCCCTCCAGGAAAGCTATGCACCTCTAGAACCATCAGGTCAGCAAGAATTGTCAGAGACTCCCTGCAAATTCTGCATTTTAAACATGGGAAAACAGGTCTCTGAGCAGATAAGAACTCCCAGCCCCAAATCCGGTCCATGGAAGAGCCAGAACTGGCAGTCTTGCCACTGAGGCAAGTTCCCATGCTCTTTCTTTGTCGTGAGCATTGACGGATGCTGGGTGCATCCCTGACCAGCTGTCCTCACAGGATTTGGTGTGGCATGGTGGGCATTTTTGATAGTAGTAAAGGGGGATAAATCTGTTGATTCAAGCCTAGAAGTTTTGCTAGACTCCAAGACAGCTTTCAGAAACATGGGTTAGAAGGGGGTGAGGTCCCAGGGCACCCTCTCAAGGTGATTCATTTTGAATCTGCTTGGGGAGCATATCTAGATGTTTGGGCCATAACTCATCTTCCCATCCTCTGAAGAAGTATTAGTGTATTAGTTTCAATAAGCTCATGCATGCCGCAGTAACAAACAATCCTGATTATCCATGGCCTAATACAATTAATTCACTCAAAAAGGGTCAATTTCTCATTTATAACCAAATGTCGGTAATTCATGGGCTCAGGATTCTAACTACATCCTCAGGACCCTAAACCAGTTAAGGTGATGAAGAAGAAAAGCTCTTAAGGAGCTTCAGTGGCAATACATGTCTGCTTAGAAATGACACAGGTCCCTCCATCTTCTCCCTTATTGGTCAAAACTAGTAATGGCTCCAACCCCAAAAGAGTGATCAAGAAGTGTCAGTCTCTCCTGAGTCCAGAAAGCAGAGAACTGAGAATATTTGCAGGACATTCTTGTGACCATCACAAAGCCAGGTGGCTTCTCATCAGGAAAGAGTGGGAACTTAGCACATTGATCAAGTTTTTCTGTATTCTTGGCAGAGGTGATAGGTTCCCACCATATGGAGGGATCTGTGTCAAGGTAGAGGCAGAACCTTTCACGGTGAATGAAGGAGCCTCCACCTCTTCCACGTCCTCACTTTCTCCTAACTTCTTTCTGTCTCTACAAAGTCATGCTTGAAAATCCTCACTTACCATGAGTGGCTCATTCTTTCTGTTTTTCTTTCCCTCTTCTCAAATTCAGCTTCTGTCCCCACTACCTGCTGCTTTGCGGTGGCAAACAAGAAGTTCTCCATTCAGCGCCTGGAGAGCTACAGAAAGATCACCGGCAGCAAGTGTCCCCAGAAAGCCGTGATGTGAGTAGAATGAGCTCACCCTCCCCCAGACCAAAACTCCTGCCCAGGGCACTGAGTCAAGAAGAACTGCGTCAGAATTCCTTGGAGTCACAGGCTCAGTTTGTAATCTAATCCATGAATTTTCCCAACAGAAAACATTCACCCTCCGTTCCCTGCACGGGAGCTTGTTCAGGGTAGACTTGGTCCTTGGAGTAAGAGAAAAGATGGTTTTACGGGGCCTTCAAGGGCAGCAGCCTACCCCAGAGTCCCATCCTTCCTCTGCCCCCTTTTGTTCTTCCACAACTACCCCTTTAGCAAATAACCCAGCAACCCCATTAGCAAAAAGATCCGTTAACAGATGATCCCAGAGGGTGCAGAATTCAATGGGCAGAGATTCAAGTTCAAGGAGAATCGTTCTAATTTCTTCCTCCCTTCCCATAGCTTCAAGACCAAACAGGACAAGGAGTTCTGTGCTGACCCCAAGCAGAAGTGGGTCAAGGACGCCATCAAGTACCTGGACCAAAAACTCCAAACTCTGACGCCACAGTAATCACCAATTTGGAGACTAAACCAGAGACTGAGACGAAATTCAGAGATGGAGAAATGCTGGATTCAGCTTCCCTTCCTATGATGCATTCTGAAATAATCTCATTATCATACTCAAAGGAATGGGTCTTATTATGTAATTAAAAACATATTATATTTAAGTTATTGGAATTTTTTTAATGTATCTTCTATGAATGTTTAAGAATGAATATGTCATTTTTTAAATGTAAAGCTCTGAGCAGATCCCTCACCCTCTGTGAGCCCCAGCTAGTTCCCCTGTGAGGGTGAACAATGAGACTCCTCTCCTGCCTACCTCCCTGGAATCTTGTAAGGGTCCTGGAAAAGATGATCATTGTGAAATGCTGTGTATTTTTAGGAGGACATTGCTCTCACAAACCTAAGTTTAATTCACAATGTTCAATGAAAGTTAAATATTGTTAAAGCAATATATAAGATAAATATAAATTCCATTACGGTAAACGGTTGTGTATTTTGATGTGGGAGGGAGATTCACACTGAGCTGGGGGTGGGTGGTAAAGACAGCTGTGCGGTGTAAGGTCTGGTTGTGAAGCAAATGACCCTTTGGTTTGGCTGATCTTCAATGAGACTCAAGGCCCATGCTGACTCTCGGATTTCTGCCCCCAGCACCATTTCCCAGACTAAGGTTAGTTTAGTCACTTACTCTGCAGGAGCGCCCCACCCCACCCGCCGCCAAATTCTTTTCCTCACCCACTTCAAACTTGCCCCAAGTTTCTCCTGTGACCCATTACAACAATCTTCTCCGGCTCCCTGACCTGACGGCTCTGTCTTCCAACCTACACAGAGGCCATTGAGAAATCAGCAGAAGCCCAGAGGACCCTTGGCAAGAGGTTTGGGTGGAGACTTCAAAGCAGAATGGAACTCATACTAGGTCTTGGAGGAGAGACGGGAGGGGAGTGAGAAACATATCAGTGCAGGAAGAGAAAGAGATATTATCTGAGCAAATGCCTAGAAGTAGGGCTGAGCATGTTGGTCAGATTGGGTGGATGCCTAGCCAAAGTGTTAGGGCTAGAATGTGCGCCATGTTGGGAAACTTGGAAAGAAGTTCGAGGGCTATCTGTCAGAGTGGAGGGTTTGAGCTCCATTCAGATAGTTATAGGTAAGGTGAGCATAGCATTTGTATCCCCAAAATAGGATTCTCTTCAGAGTACAAGGTAGGCTTATAAACAATTATTCTTGGACAATAGATATAAATCAGAATGGTCCCAGGCAAACTGGAGCACAAAGTCACCCTAGTGATTATAGGTACTGAAAGTTTCAATTCAGTGGAGAGAGAAGGACCATGACCAGAGTCCCCCAGGAAGAGCAGGTAGTTAACATGCCTAATTGGGAGGGGAGGGAGATGTGTTAGCACAATACCACAATAGATAGGCAAGAGGCCATGGGGCATGGGCCAGGGCATGGAACAAAGCATGGGTAGACGGGGTGGGGAGAAGGTAAGGTAAGAAGATAAGGCCAAGGCAGGGTGAGATGCTCGGTGTTAGGGTGGGGGAAAGTAGGACTGGTTCAGGAAACTCCCCAAACTCCACAGAGCTGCAACTGAAGGGTAGCTTCTTAGACCTAGAAAATCCACTTCCCTCTAACACTCTTCCCTCACACCCTAACTTTACCAGCTTAAGAGCTTCTGGTCAAATGGACAGGACTGCCTCTTCCAGCATAAGCAACTCAAGGCAGTATTCAACCTGCATTTGTCAGTCACATGACCCCCTTGTGGGGACACAGACAGCAACTGGGTCCCCAAGGATTGAAAAGAGCTATGGTTGCCCTGCAGAGAAACGTCGGCATGGTTAGGTGCTGCCAATTCAGGGGGCTGAGGGTCTGGTCATGCCATATCTAGCTGGATCACTGTATTCACAGCTCCATTGGGCCCCGTTCACACCATCTCTCCTGGGACCATAGTGATCATGGCACAAGGACATATAAATGGCAGCACGAGACACTAGGAGAAGCACTGACCTGGAAGGCTGTCTAGATAGCTTTGGTTTTATCACCAGAACTGATCTCTCTCCCTGTTCTACATTGAGCCTTGGTTAACTCATCCATAATATGAGGAAGATCATATTTTTTAGGGAGGGAACTGAGGAGACCAGTCAATGGCCCTACACAATCTTCTATGCTTAGAGCTCTGGGACTTGGTCGCATCATTACCTCCCCCACTGAAGCAGCAAAGGCTGGCTGGTTCAACAGTCATATTTCCAAGGAGGACAGGGGCTGAGGTAACTGGCTCACCTGCTGCATCTTAGACTGAGTGTTTCTGAAAGTTTCTCTATGAGAACATCAAGTAGAAGCATGGACCCCAGGAGTCACCATAGAGCTTCTAGTGATTATCACACACTGGCACCCATTCATAGCAATGAATGCCTTTCACTTCAGGCACAAAAAACCTCTCTGCCTTTCCTACAGCCTAGAAGACTTCAATCCTACACACTAACTGGGAATGTACCTCCATGTCCATGAGCCAAGGTATGACCACAAGGAGAGCTCACTGGTATCAGCAGACCTGCTAGTGCCAGACACATCTTAAAGAGGACATCAAAAAGGAGGAGAGAGCTGCCCTCCATTTGTAAAGGACTGAACAGAATTTGCTCATGTCCCCCATGCCAAGATCACTCTCAAGAAATGCTGAACCCAATTCACCTGCAACTGAGAGTAGCATTTCCTGTCCTTGGAGTGTGAAACTGCAGGTACAAGGAAATGGAAGTGATTAAGCCTTCTTATGGTGCACAGACCCCAATCAGGATCCAGGAATGTCACCAACTGGTCTCCCTGAGAAGCCAACTCGGGCAGAGTGTGTTCGAGAATGTGGAAAGCAAGAATGAGCAGAGAAAGAATTAATGTCATGCTGTAGTCACAGCCTAGGTCTCAGCCAATTCCACAGGGAGCTTCAGAATTGGGATAACCCAGACGTGGCAAAGGGACAGGGCGCTTATATCCCCATCTCAACCAGTCATGGCTGCAGGTCACTCCTGCATCAGGGCATAACTCTGGATGAGATGGCTCTGGTCAGCTGAGGAACACTTCAGTCCTGGGAGAGGAAAATCTGGTCAGCACACCGCAGACTCCACAACAACCCTCCCCTTGCACTGCTGGAACCTCTTTGCTTATACAATAAGTTCTGGAAAACTCCAATAATCTTTCAAACTTGTTTTTCTCAGGAAATTTACAAGACAAAAGTTAGTGGGGTGAGCTACAGTGCCCCCCTTCCAACTGCTGCAGCTGGTCTTGAGGCCACAGATGAGTCTTATCACCCCCTCCTTGGGCCCTAATTCTAGATCTCCCTTGTCCTCAGCCAACACATCTGCTGGTCTAGGTGGCTTCCCTTAAGGGTTGAAGTGGACCCTCATCCCTGAGGGCTGAGCCCCTCGCCCTTCACACCCTTCTGAAGACCAGGCTGTGGCTGCTGTTCTTGTCCATTTGCCATCAAGAATGGGTAAGGGGATACCAGAGAGACAGGCAAATGGGTGACCTACCTGCCAATCATATTCAGTAAGCAAAAACAGCTCCATCTGCTCCTGATGATGAGGGCTATTACCACCTCCTCCTCAAACTGGTGCCTTCTTCTTCTTGCCTTTGGGTCTCTTGGCCTGCAAATTTTAAGAGATGGAGTGCAGCCATGGCTTGAGGCTGAATAAATACACCAGAAACCCAGTTGGAAGCACTCTTCCCTTGAGAATCCAAACTTCCAAACCCATGCGGCTCTAATTTTCATGAATATGAAACACAAATTTCTCCCAGCTGGGGTCTCTAGAAGTGATGCTAAGTGAGGTCACTCCTATTTCCCCCTCTCATAGCTAGATCCATGAATTTTTTACCTACCAGGGACACAACAGCGTATGTTGATTGGTTCGGGATGTCTATTGAATCCTGGAAGATGGCCTTTCATTCTTGTGGGGTGTTCTTTCCAAGCCGGTACCTCAACTATGCCTCCAGCTGGCCTTCCACTCTTCTATCTGGCCAGGATCTTCTGGAAAATGTTGGTACTTACAGGATCAGCAGATCCCATGGTCGTACACCCTGTGGTGTACCTTATTTGCTGTAGTATGTCTGTTACTCTATAGTGATGTCATGCCAATGGACATTCTATAAGCTCGGAGATAGTGGTGCTAGCTGAGGTGCTAGAAACAGAAATGTCAAATTCATTCTTCAAAGTATGTCTATACCAGTTAAGATGAGTCGTGGACATTTTCAGGGTAGAGTGAGTACAATGTAATCAAATGCATATTTTCCACTAACGAGCTAGCAAGTCTCCTTGATGAATGAGGCCATAGCAGGGGCTCAATGTTGGCCTTTGTTACTAGCAGGCTGGACAGTCAAGTATGTCAATCATGGTGAGTGAGAGCTCTTGCCATTTGACCCATGTGTATCATAAAGCCCTGATACAAGGCTACTTTGTTCATGTTCCTCTGTCCTAGCACCACAAATCATGGTAGCCAGATAGTGGAGCAGAAGGGAGAGAAGTAGCCAGGGACAAGGTATAGTCCCCAAGGGTATGCCCCCAAGGACCAGCTCCAGTCAACTAGGTTCCACTTCTACAGTTCCCCACAGATCCCAATAGATCATTTAATTATGAACCCATCAATGGGAAATCCACCAATAAGATCAGAGTCCTCATAATCTAGTCACTTCTCCAAAGCCCCACTTCTAACATTACTACATTGAGAACCAAGCCTTCAATTCATGAGCATGGGGAACATACCTATGAGTTCATATATACAGTCACATGCCACATGAGAGCATTTCTATCAACTATGGAGTGCACATAGTTGCACCTTATGATGGTGGCCCCATGAGATGACAAGGAGCTGAAAGATTCCTAGTGCCTAGTCACATCATGGTGTCTTGAGATGGAATCCACTCCTGGTGAAGACGTTGTGAACGTTGTTGAAATGATAGCAAATGATGTAAAATATTACATAAACTTAGTTGATAAAGCAGCAGCAAGGTTTGACTCCAATTTTTCAAGAAGTTCTCCTGAGGGTAAAAATGCCATGAAACATCATTGCAAGTTTCAGAGAAATCATTCATGAAAGGAAGTCAACGAATGTGGACAATTTTAGTGGTGTCTCATTTTAAGA